ACCCCAAAAATTAAAGGTCATTCCGGATTGATACAAGGTCCACGAGAGGTTACCCTGGATATCAAAAGAAAAACCCATTAGTTTGGAACTCACGGTAACAAGTTTATAAGCATTCTAACGCAACACTAGAACATGTTAGTTGTCAATGGGTGTGCGATGACTTGTTTCAATGTATATTGCATTGGATACAGCTTTTCGGAATTTGTAGATGCTTATAACAGGTGCTAAAAATGCGACCGAAAAATAAAGCCTTTATAAAAATTTTTATTACATTTTCCATTTTCTGCTTTTGACTTAAGTTGTAAACAAGAAATGTTGTTGGACGTTACTACCATACTTAACGCATAATTTAATAGCTGAACCAATATGCAGCCTGCAATGAAAATACAACTGCGTCGTACCATATTTCATTTTCAACTGCGTCGTATACATTTCATACAAATTATTATTTTCTTGGAAAATAAACATCTCTTTTTAATGAAATTTTAGTAAATGATGCAAAATTATATTTTGAAGTTTATGGTGAACTCTGTACGGATATATAATTGATTTGAAGGAAAAAACGATTGATAAAGCAATATGAACTGCGTCGTATCCACACAATTTTATAAAGATTCTGGCCCGCTTCGAGTTGCAAGTTCGCTATAACTTTTGTTTTACAAAATAGTTGTTCAAGCAACATGTACCGAACGAACCGGAAAATAGTGGAGCGTGTTAATACACATATCTGGTTTTCAGTCATTTCCAACAAAAAGAGTTATAAACGAAAACATATCTTTTTTGTTCCAAGATGGCGGCGTTTGTTTACATTTTGTAGGATACGACGCAGTTTTGATTCCCAGCCTTGTCATATTTTATGCTCAAATTCTAATATTTGATAATATTGAAGAATGCACTGTATTTGTATAAATATAAAATACACATGTTTTGACTTCACGCAAAGTAGATATGTTTTTTTTCTAACACTCCTCGTGATATTGTCACTATAGACAAAGAAGAAGAAAAAACGTTGCTAAACTGCCAATAAATACTGGTTAGGGACTACTTGTATATACGGCTTTTATGTTTTCTCCCTGCCTGGATTATATAGTTTACAAAGCCTTATAAAGCAACAATAAAAAGGTATTTTATTGATATTTTCAGTTCTTATAACGATTTCTTTTCATACAATACTGATATAATATCTCACATACACTAACGCCACAGATGTGATCCATATCAGTTCATAAATATTTTGAATAAAACGGTGCCAATCCCTAAGCAGCGTAATGACGTCATCCTTAAGTATACAACTCATTCACAAACGCTCTAGAATATGACGTCATTTCAAACAGACAAGTGGGATTAATTGGGCACTGATGTAAACACAATTCAATCCAGTCTGAGACGTAAGTTTTTATTTTTGAGTTTATATTATAACTTTTTTTCTTATTATTTCGTTTGTTTAATATTTTCTATATCTTAGCAACAGTATGATGCCAAAACGAACAGCGTTATACGAAATCGGCACCGGAAGTAATCTCCGCTTGAAAAATAAAGTTAGTGATCATCCTTATTTTATATTGTTTGAATCGAAATAATATCGGTCTTAGCGGTGTTTATTGGCTATTTAACACCGGTTTTGTCGTTTTGATGTGAAAAAATTAACCATAATAAAATCACTGTTGCGAGGAATTATATCACGAGGACGTAGCCCGAGTGATATAATGATGCGCATCCGAACGACAAACAGTGATTTTATCAAGCGATAAAATCACCGATTTGGATATATTATTTCGATTCTAACACGACATTAACAAATAAATGCTGCCAAAACTGATATTAAGCTAAATTGCGCCTGATTTGTTTCCGCACTTCATTTTTAGTGGTTACGTCACATCTATATAATGATTATATAGTGATTTTATTGCATAATAACACATACTTCGTTCAGGAAAAATGCGGGTCGTGTTAGAATATTCCATTATGTACTTGTTTCTTAACAGAGTCGGAAAGCACCTAACGTATTCCTTTTCGATCGTATAATGTATAATAAAATATATTACAAAACACGTTATAATACTGATTTTGGTCTAATTACTGTGAACATTTAAATACTATTTTAAGATGAAATGTCCATGTGTTTCATAGACCAATTTGAGCTCTTTCCGGTGTAGCAGTGTTTCGGTGATATTATTTCGATTCTAACAAGACGAAATAAGCAAGATCAACAATGTTATTTTTTCAGGCGGAGATAACTTCCGGTGCTGATTTTCGTATACTGTTCGTATGTTAAAGAAAATGTATAAACAACTGTATAAATGACACAACGTATGTAACCATAATTATAAATTGTGTAAATTTCGTACATATTTATTATTAGTTTTAATAAACGTTCATTTTTGAGAGAAACATTTAACAGCGTCCATGAATTATTTTTATTTTGATGCCATATAATTTGATAATTTTATATTTTGATATTACAAAATTATATTATTTCACTAGCTTTGTAATGAAACGTACATACTGTATTTATCTATCACTATACGAAATTATGTTCTTAGCCTAGAATGAGAGATACTAATATTTTATTTTTGACAGCTTTGCATTCAAGAAAATGGTATTGCTATGTTGTTGTATAATGACATTTTAGGTTCATGTATTTTTATGATTTACAAACACGACACACACAGTTGTTAGAGCGAGATTGTTTTACTATTATACAATTATCTATCACATACCCATGCCGCTTTTGGGGCTCCGTAAAAACGGTATAACATTACAAATGCGATTAACATACTTGATGCTTTCTTTGATGCTTTCGTACCAAATTCATTTGTTAACTTGCCTGGACATCAATCATAAGTGATATATACATAAACGATATATACATAAACGGTTTATGTATGACACTTCTAGAAATATTTCATTTCTCACTTTTTTCAGCACCAATAAATGAAACTTACTTTCATTTCTGTCTTCAGTAAGATCATATTCAAATCTGGATTTAAAATTCATACTTTGGTATCACAATTGATATTCATAACACAAAAATTATGATTAAAAATAAGGACTAGACAGTGGGGCATTGTTTTTATATAATTTCAAAGCCTTATTTAATCCAATATTACGCATATTTGGTGCATAAACAGGGCGCTTATGGTAAAGTTGGCAATTAAGATGTCAATGCTAAATCGTGTATATAATTTTACAATGATTCGGAAGCTTTATACATTTTATGATTGGACGTGTATATATCATAAATGTTTGAAGGCCGAATTTTATATTATTCAAAATACTTAGTAAGCACATTGAATAATTATACAATGCTTGAATAGTGGTTTAATTTTAGATAAATAGTTTTCTTAAAATACATTAAGCCACTTTTGATACATTATGTATTTTCTTGCCCGATTGTTTGCTCTTCTTTTTAGATAGACAGGATAAAATTGTTTCACACAATAAAGTTTGCATGATCTAAAAATATGAGAAAATAAACGTTTTAAATGGAATCAATATGGGTCAACGATCTCTTTTTTGAATTATTCTCACTTGAAACTTTTTTTGTGCTTCTTTCAAGGGAAAGATAATTCACAATAAAGGCGGCCTTATTATTCTGCTTTGTGAAAACTTAAAAAAATAGAGCGATCAGTATTTTTTTATTACCTAAAACAATGCAAAAACTGTTTGTCTTTTAAGAATTTAACCTCTTAACTTAAAATCGAAAATAAGTATTTTGATGTAAAAATGAGATTTTTTAGACTGACGTAGTCACAACCCTCTATATCGTCATCCTTTGGGTTTTTTTGAAAATATTTTGTGTGTTTCAATAATTATCTAAGATTCCGGAATACTTAAGGAAATTGTATGAAACAGTTTTCATTCTGCCTTTATGTCTATTTGGCCAATGGAGAGAGTTTAATTTGGATACAATTACATTGTAATCACAAATTGCGTGGTACAGAATACAAGTTGGAAATTTCTATTGCTAGTTTGAAGGACCTCCAGAATGGTATTAATCTATCATTATGTAGAGGATAGTTTGTAAGACTAACCTTGCTGAAAATAATCCTAAAACAACGCGAAAAGAATAAAGTGAAAATTTCAGAAAAACTAAACAAAAGGCGCATGCAAATTCAAAAGATTTATAACTACATTTGCTTACAACTATTTTACAAAATATGATCGACAGATCATGTGTGATATTTCCGTGTTCTACCGTTAGCATATCGATTTAATTGCAAAAATAACGACAGTTCAAATTTCACTATATTCCAACACTAGTACTGTACAAATCCTCTCATATGAGGTGTTGTCACGGTTATAAGTGCTTTAATTGGCATGGTTTTTAAAGAGAAACACGTGCTCGGAGTATGTATAATTTGTCTCACACAAAACATAATTCCTTGAATATAAGTTCACTTCAAAGAGTTATGACATTTACATGATATCAATAATAAATTTTGTTTTAAGATATAATGCAAATGACTCAAATTTACATTTTAGAATAAGATATCCTCAAAAGATAGGTTTCGTTTACATTTCACAAGTAAAGTATGCCTAAAGTATTTCAAAGTAACTTATGAGATATACACTAACGTGTCCTTTATTGCAAAATTTGTTTTTTTTGTTTGTTTTCGTTTTCACAGAAAATTTTAATATAAAAGAATATTTTCAAAGAATTGTCTATATTTGTAGTTTTTTGTCAACAACCACGTACTGTTTCGTAAGTTTTAATCTGTGAGCAGTAGTTTCACCTTGAGAACAGGGTGCTTGACTTCAACTGCTGCAGCGGTTTATGATACAATACAAATTGTTGTAACAAAAAACCATAGTTTCATTCTGCAATTTCTGTTTTTATGATGATCATTTTAACCATCTTTGTTATGCTTGTTAACGTTAATAAATTGCAAAGAAAGTTTTGTTATACATATTTGGTTATTTGTATTTTTCTCCGTATACAGATATGATAGACTTTAGTCTTTGTAACGACGGTATCTATATTTCGCCACTTACACTGACGTGCACTCGTTTTTGACATGTCTTATCGGTTTGTTAAAGTTTCTTTCGGACTATCATTTGGTTTATAGATATTATAGAATATACGTGTAGTTCACAAGAAAACAACAACAAAAAACGAAATGACGATAGACAAGTTTCTTCTAATATGTTCATTAAGCGTATTTTTGTACGCAGGGTTTACATGTGGATCTAAAAAGAAAGGCGTCGTTGCGTGGGCTACTGGACTTTTGTGTGATGATTTTAAAAATCTTAACAATATCGCTTGGTGGTAGGCAAATGTATATTATTTGTATATCATTTATTCTATTTTTAAAAATTTTCATTCGCATTGAAGATTCAATATTTGTCTGACATCAGACTACATAATTACAGTGACCGTTGTTAACTACCTCTTTATTTGTAGATTATGTACTTTTTTCTCGTTTCTTGATTAAAAGATAAAGCAGGCAATTAAGTGAATTCACAGATATAAGAAAGGGGCGGACCCCGTCATGTTTACTTGATTTTTCTTGCAGGTATGACTATAAAAACGACCTCACTACTTATCACCAGACTGTGACTCAGGCATGTCCTCACTCTTTTCATTACATGCCTGAATTTATTCCTCTGATTTGGAAATCTAGATGGAATGGCGCAATACACATGAATATTTCAAGCAACGCATCGTATGTTATGGTTTTGAACGAACCCGACCAAGCCGTCCAAACAAACATGTCTGCCCAGCAAGTAGCTGATCTTTGGCCAGAAATCGAAAAACACTCTCATGAAAAACCAATCCTAAGTCCTGCACCAGCACATCATAATTTTCAGTGGTTGGATGAGTTCTTCCGTGTTTGCAATGGCTGTCGTATTGACTATGTAGCTGCGCATGCGTACAGCTGTAATGCCAATCACATCATGTCGTATTTGGAAAAGCTGTATCATAGATACAATAAAGAAATTTGGCTCACGGAGTTTGCGTGTCCGAAATCTACGGATGAACACCAACAACTGCATCTGATGAAAACTCTGTTACCGAAACTTGAGGCGGCACCTTATGTGCTAAGGTAATTAAAATAAGTTAACTAAAATAGAATTCAATAAAGAAACATTCGAAAATACATTGTGTTTTCCCTTACTACTCACAAAGGTAAATTGTTTTTATCACAAAACATATGCATGAACCTTTGGCGATGAAATAATAAGTACTCTGTCATGTTTCTTTATTCAAAATTTTACCATTTCATGTTTCAATTCTGTTTGGACCGGCCCTATCGGACGCAGAAACACCTTGCTTTTCCAATACTGTCCTTGAACCGGCTTAGTCAAACCGAGCCTACAACAATCTTTAATTGTTATCAGGTAATTGTTATTCTCATAACGGTTTGACAGTAAATAAAGTAGAACAAATAAATGTATGAAAATGACCCTAAAATCGTCGCAATCAAAGGTCAAAATTGAGAGTTAATGAAATTGATTTATTTTTTAAACGAACATTTATCATTTTTGACTTCACTATCAAATTCTTTCTGTGAGCAAAAATTATAACACATGTATTTAAGCACTTACTCGTTGCAATGATGTTTAATATTCAGAGAAAAAGAAGATTTGCATTCTCGTGTACGATATGGAAATAAATGAAATCAAAATTGTTATCTATTTCCTAAATATTATACCTGATACAAACGTTTTACATCTACATTAAAAAAGCGTCAGTTAGCTTTTAAATAATTTGATACTCACGATGACGACAGCCGTCCTACAAACAGTACATTGACCTCCTTTGTGGAAACTATAACGTTTTTGTTTGACGGCAAAAATTTCGCGGCGAGTAACCGCGATAAATACTATGATTTTTCAATGTCACATATAATTCAGTATTAAGAAATAAAAATAACGTATCTTATTATTGCAGGTATTCATGGTTTATGGCGAGAGTTAAGCGAATATTTGATGGTGGATTCATAACTCCCGCTGCTAGTCTTCTACACAATGATTCCTCAACACTCACAATGATCGGACATTACTATAATAACTTTAATGGGACCGGACATTCTTCACAGATTGTTGGTTAATTCAAGTATTGTGTAATCACAAATCAATAAATTTTTCTCATACGCATTTTAACATTCCTGTGTTACATACGCTGTATATACCGCTTTTTGATAAATTTATTTGAGAGATGCGCAATATTACAAAGGAATGTGGCATCCTGACTTATCATATTCCTTTTCCTAAAGAGAGCTATCATAGAGGTTATATGCTACCCATAAGTATGCCCTTGCATTCTTTGATGATTGTTATTGTTGTTATCTGACAACAGACACTTGAACATCACCATACCTTTATCCAGTATGCCTGGAAGTACTGCTTCGTAGCTGATAGAAGAATTGCTGTGGTCTCGCAGTTGTTAAGCTTCATTAAAGATTAATGCTAAACTTCGGCAAATAAGATATGTGATTTGATCTTGTTTCGTCTCAGTTCTTGTATGTCCAGCCTTCTTTCTTTAGTACTGTCTGGTCTCAAATCCAAAGACATGGAGTGGGTTAATATGAATTTATGTGCTGCACGTTATAGATAATCATATGGCTGTCTTTGTTGGTGGTGTTTTGACATAGTGCATAAAAATAGTCCATACTTACCATTTATTGTGTAAAAAAATATTGTTATGATAATAAAAAAGAATTTAATACCGGGTATTTAAGAAAAGATAACATGGCTAATGAATGATAAAAAGGCAATGGGAACTGTTGAAATAACAAAAATGGCAACATTTTGCGCAATTATACTTTCTCAAGAGATTTGTTTGAAGAAAGTACTACTTCCGGTTCTATTGTAATGATATAATATTGATCATTCAGAAAATTCAGCATGTTTATCAGATCTCTCGCACGGCGGTGGGACACCATCAACGATAGGATTCTCTTTGAAGTAGTCTTGTGAATCACAACGTGCTGTTGTCATTATTGCAGGCTTTTCAGGTCTTATTTAAAAATAGCCTGTAAAATAAACATTAAACGACTGTGTTGATGATACTTTTAAATGATATAAAACATAAATCTTTTTATCGAAATTGCTCTTGCAGTGGTATTTAAAATATAACAAATTCACGAAAAATAAGAAATCAATTTACATTTATTATAAGAGAAGCCACTGACATAAACGAGAATGCGTTATTATCATTATTTGAACTGGCTGAATATCCACATTATAACGAAAAGTTCTACCTTCGAGTACCTTTATAAAACATGTATCTTGTCCCTACTTCAGACTTAAAAAAATTATTATGAACATGTTACATACAAAACTCTTAAAATTTGAAAATTTCGCTTTCTTGAAAATGAAGTATTTCAATGCAATATCTTGTACAATTCCAAACATGTCCAACAAAAAGAAAAAAAAACAAAAAAGCAAAACCCAAAACATTAATACTTATCATTGACTTACCTGTGATGATATAGAAACTGTCCGGACGTAAACGAATTCCGCACATACCTACGTCCTCATATGTATACAGTTTATCAGTTTTCACATTTCCACTTGGAGCCTGGACCATAATATTAGAGTGATTAAAATGTATATTACAAAATACATCCGATTTAATACTTTACTTTGTTATCTAAAAAATACTTTTCTTCCCATTTCATTTAACTAGACATTTCCAGAATATTTTAGTTCACTATTTGCTCCTGTTGTTTAACGCATCAGTTATGGTTGACACAATAGATTTTGTTCATTTTTTTGTCTTTATATATATAAATGTTTCATTTACACAAAATGAAACACTCTTTTAAGGTTCGATATTATTTATATTAGTAATCGAGATTGTTTATTTTCATGCATGACTACAATATGCATTATAGAAGTATTTAACGATGTATGGAATGATTTATAGTGGTACATTTGCGATTAAAAAGCACTAGCCGCTAGCTATAACGTATTCTTATCAATGTTTTAATAAAATACCTATTAATAAAACACGTGTTTAAATGATAAATACCTCAAAAACATATTTGTACAGTATATCAACATCATAGGCCAGTTTTAAACCGTCTACAGTACCATTGCTTTTGATTTTAAACACAGCAGCTAAAATAATCAAGCATTGTTGGCAGTAATAAAATAACGATAGTGTCAGTATAAGCATGAAAATCTTTGAATATTTTGACATAATTTTGTAAAATAACTTAATAAAATTATGTAATTAATGAGATTGTTTAACGCAAATCATAAAACTTTACATAAGACTTTAACTTCTATGCAGTGAAAAAATAACGTATTAACGCACCAAATCCTGAAGTTCTAGCACAGTAATCTATCTCTGGATCAAATGGGGCACATGAACATCCATGAACATATGCGAATGTACTGCTTATGATCAAACTCACCAAATATAACAACATCTTGGAAATATGAAAAAGACAATGTTAAGAATAATAAAAAGGCATTCATATCAATTATTTATCTGAACATTTATTACGTTCTTTTTTTGACAGTGATTTTTTAAAAAACATTATCTGTTGATATCAAACTAATTAATAAAATGAAGTATTTACACAAAGGCTGTAATTCTTAACAACAACAACAACAACAACAACAACAAAAAAAAACAAAAAACAATAGCTATTTTGGCAGTTTACTTACACTTATTCATTCAAAGGAATGATAGAAATAATATCTGTATGAAATCTCTTGTTGGTCTGAAAAGTATTAACGGTATAAGAGAAAATAGGTATCATTTTTATCAAGATCTTTGTACTCACCTTAGCATCTTTTCTATGTAGAATCCAATCTAAATCTAAAGTTATAACTCACCCTGAAATTGCATTTGCCTTTTCCTTTTAATTAAATCGCAATTTCAAATCCATGATTAAACACAAAAAAAAATCAAACTTAAAAATAAAAGAAAAAAACCAAGGCCATTGTTGTCATATAATATAAAGCGTCATTTAATTATATATCACATTTGATGCACAAAAAGTTCAATAATGGTAACATTTGGATTTGAGAATTTAAAACAAAGACTAGACAGGAGGCATTGTTTTCAAACAATTTCCAAGCATTATTTAATTAAATATTAGGCACATTTGGCGAAAATGATAAACTTAGGCAATTAAAATGTCCCATTCAATAGTTTCTGATATATACTGTATACAATTACAGAGCCATTATTAATTTTATGATTATAAATGTATATATCTATATCATAAAATAATAAATGCTCTCAGCTTTAAATTATAGGTCACACACACTTTTAATTCATATTTCATTTGCATATTTCAACATGCTTACGAAGCTAATTTGCAGATTAAGTAATACTTGAATTGAGTATTATTTGAATTGTATAGTTTCCTTAAATGAATAATATCACAAACGAAAAATGTGATATTTCTTGTATTTATGGCCCGATACAGTTTTGTAATACAGAACATAAACTGAATGGGAGAATTTGTTTATCAACCTGCGTGTAACAAACAATAAGAAATAAATATCTATTGCTTATACATTCCATAAGATAAAAGCTTATTTCAATTAAAATGTTATTTAACTATGAAGCAAAATGTACAAAGTACCATTAAGTTTATCTGCTGAAAAACCTTTGACGATTTGTAAGGTTCAAATTTGATGAAATAATCATAAAAAGTGTAAGGAAAGGTGGACTTATAATTATGCTATTAATTTTTGGTATGCTAAATATTTGTATGAGATAATATCGGCATATATATTTCAAGATTCAATAAAGAGCTTATCATTTTTTCTGCATGTCCTACTTCACTTCAACAGAAATAGTGAAAATGTATATACCCTTTTCTTCATTTTTCGACATTTCATGAACTGCGTAATTGTGCTTAGTATATAGATGTGTTCATTTTATTTGTCATGTGACTCATTGAGCAAGTTTTATTTTCCTCGAAATAAGGGAACTATTCTATATACTAATACTTAATATATGTAAAGATGTAAGTGGGATATGTATATACAGGATTACGGTCTGTTGTTGTCTCTTTAAGATGATTTGAAGATATAATTGTTTATCAATAAGTACATTATGCTATCAAAATAAGAAGAACTAATTGAATTGGTACAATGTATTACATATAATTATTCCGAAATTTAAAAAAATCATATCACGACAGAAGTAAATAATATGCCATTTGTGTCATCATGTATAAAACCTTGGAAATTAATGTTCTCGGTTACTATCACCATAGTTTCACGGGTCTTTTATGATCTCTTAATGATCTATTAACTACGCAATTAAACCTGAAAAAACAGCGGATATTAATTCACGGTCTCCTTGCATGTTATAATGGTTCAGGAATTTACAACAGAAATAGACATTATGGTAACATTGGTATTTGATTAAAAATAGTGAAAGCTTTAAAAGGAAATTAAAAAGGGCCCGATTTCACATTAACGTTTTTCTCTATTTATTCTTATAATCAGTTTAAAGTTGATATTGTTTTAGATACAGGTGTTGTGGATTCATGAAAACAGAGCTTCAAAAACATTTCGGAATGAAAAAATCTGTAATAATTTGTTATAGCTTACAAGAATAAAAATGCTTCTGGGACAAACCTGCGACTGGAAGAACTGATATGTATTTGAGATGTCCAAAAAGCCAAAAACCTATGAAAGAAAACAAAAGGTTTAGAAAAACAGAATGTCAAGGAA